GAGTACTGCTACACACTTCCTCTCATTTTACTGGCATACCATCATTCATATTCAGAAGTGGAAGATCAAAAGGCGAGAGAATGAATAAGAATGATATCATCTTATGTGCTGGACAAAGTTAAATAATTTTCACAGTGGTACTTATATAAATTTGTGTAGTAAAAAGCACATTTCTTACTTGAAAACTCATTATCAATACGTGATCACGATGATCCTGTGCAAGTTTTAAAAAATAAATTATGTTCGTTATAAAAAAATTTTTAGAACCCTTACAATTTAGCATCAGAATATCCCATTTTTTCCATGCTTTCATTTGATATAAAATTCATTATGGTTACTATTTGTTAGCGTAGAATTACCCCCGTGGAAAAACATTTTTACGCACCCTGTATAATCTATGTAGCACATACAACAAAACTTCAAAGATTCGATTTCACTGGATCCACACACAAACCATCATCATGCATGGCACTTGTTATCTTCCAAAATTTTTCTTTAATGGATATTGAACAACTTAATGACTTTCTCAAAGTCTTCCACAGTCATTTTTTAATATTTTATCATCGTCAAACAGATTCGTTATTTATCTCATTATTTTGCACTTGTCTAGGATCATTTAAATAGAATTTCTTCTAGCATAGCCTAAGCCATCTGATGAGACCGTTAAGCAAGGTCGAAATCGTGATTATGATTGCTTGACTCACTACACCATACATCCCCACCCTCGATGGTATTTGATTTGAAAATGAACCTTTGACAAAAATTTCCTTTTGGAGTCAATTTCACTTCAATAAGATGTTATTTTCAATACTAAGCTTTCCATTCGAATCAATGTAGTTCTATAATTCTTAACATATCTGATGAGTCTTATCCAAAACTAGGACGAATAATGTCGCATGAAACTGCTTTGAATCTTCTTTCTCTGATAAACTCACACGCTCACCCTCGCCTCTACCCTGCTTATATTACGAGTTCTTATTTATGCTCTTGGCTTCGTTCTAGATCATTTAAACAGTATATTAGTGTTCTGCGGGAATGATTTTTTCCCGTGTTTTTCCCGTCCCGTTTCCCGCGGGAACGGGAACGAGGCAAAAAATTGACGTTCCCAACAATCGTTTTTTTTATTATTTTCAGACGCATGAAAATATATTTATGTAACAGCTTTTTATTTTCAATAACTACTAATTAATGAACACAAAAATAACAAATATGTATCAACAAAAATTAAGGAAGTTTATCCGTTGTTAATTAAATCGTAATTAAATCATAATTCAATTATCCTCACTATCGTTTTCTTTATCATTATCATTTTCTAAAGTATTATCACCAAGTTTATCTTATAACATATAATTATTATCATCTTCTGTTGAATATTTTCCTTTTTTTATAGGTGTTGTTGTTGAACTGCTATTTTTTCTTTTTTTAAATTGTTCAATTGATAGTGGAAATAATTCTCGTAATGTTGACAATTTTCGATGTATAAACAATAATTGATTTACTTTACTTATTTGTAAACGTGAACGACGATTTGTAATTGTAATTCCACTATCTGAAAAAA